GAGAGAGAGAGAGGAGGGCGTCTAGCAGCCACTAACACACGAAAAGGAGGTCGGCGAGAGGAAGAGGACAGAGGTATAGAGACAGAGGCCAGAGGGAGAGAAAGGAGATTCTGGATATAACCGAAAAACCCACGCGGAATCGGAATCTATCAAGACAATAACAGCAGAGATTACCACGCGGTTAACATTATCGACCCAATAAGAGCAGTGATAATATGGAGGACCATGCAGCGTGCTTTGCCAGCGTGCAGAAGCAGAGGATAAGAATGCAGAATGCGGCAGAGTAGGGGGTGATTGGGACGATAGGGATGTGCAGCGGCTTCAACGCTTAAGCAGGAGACAACATGTGAAGACAAGCAAGGGGGTTGAAGCAGGAGAAGCAGGACGAAAACAGGCAGAGAAGTGTTTTCTGTCCGCGAGTCCATATAATACGATACAATAACAGTTATACTTACATGGTTTATAGAGAACACACAGCCAGCCAGAGCCAGACCGGGAACCACAGTGGCACGTCAGACCTGTGTCAGTGGTATATATCAAATTGAACCTCGAGCGGCGACTCGAGATGTCAAAAGCCACGGACAGAGCTGCGCAACGCGAGCAGAAAGAGAGCGAGAGGGAGGGCTTCGAGCGCAGCTTTGCCGGCCGGCCCTGATGGACATACTTAGTCCTGCCCCCTGGATGAGCTCTGGTGGCCCTGAGATGCAGCGCTATGTCGGGAACGGCCTAGCGAGCAGGAGCTGCCGGTGGAGTTGGGAAGGGATATGCCTGCTTGTGAGTGAAAAACTTCCGCGCAACAAGCGTCGATGACATTGGCGTGTGTATGGGGAGGGGATCGATATCAGACCAGTGGGCTCTGCTTGTGTCCCTGTCTGCCCTAGTCTGCCCGGCTGTCTGTCTGCCTGACTCGCAAAAAGGGGGCACACAGCACGAGAGAGAGAGAGAGGGAGAGAGAGAGGCCGGCCGTCAGCTTCATGCATTGCCCAACACCAACAATAATGCCCCCGACATTCCAGTCTCCTTTCCACAAGGACATCCCCGAGAACGCTGGCGAACAAGCAGAAGAAGCAAAGAGAGACGACCAAAAAAAAGAAAAAGCAGAAAAGGGGGGGAGGGCATTTTACTTTTGCAAGAGGGATAGCCAGCGCTGTGGTATCTGGCGTGACGGGCAAAACGGCCTCCCCTGTGGTTAGTGTGAGTGACCTTACTCTTAATAGTCGGCTCCGTATATATCAGTTATACGTGCAACGGTAGCAGCACCGGCTTTTCGACTGGCTGGCAATTTTATTTACTGATTTTTTTTTTTTTGGCCCTTCCCACAGGCGTCTCTTGGTCATTATTGGAAGGACGCTCTCCACCGGGGAAGATGCGCCGTTGATCATGAACAAATGAGCAAGTCTCTTCCAGCGGCCCGAGAGCTGTGCCAGTTCGTATTGCTGGTGCGTCAAGGGCTAATCCTGGCTCGATAGCAGAGGATACGATGCCCTTAGCCCAAAATGAACGGTGGGCTCGCTGCTGCAAGGCCAGGCGCGAAGCTTTTGCTGCATCCAACCTTACCGATACGTGGGTGCGAAAGGACATGCAACCAAGGTTCGGCTTGTGAGCTCACTTTTCGGTGCCTCCCTCTGCTCCTCTCGCTCTGCCGCGAAAGGCACCATAATGCTGGGGAAAATTCGATCTGTCGAATAGGCCGCCATTCGACCGATAAGCAGTTAGGTCGGAAAAAGCAAGCGGCAGGGCGAAAGAGAGGCCGCAGCGAGACCGTTGCGAGAACCATAGCAGGGCGGTGTTATTGCTAGGGAAGACCCGTCACCCCTTGCTCGACAACCATTGCTCTATCCAGATGTTTCGCCGAGCTGATATAATATTGGGATACAGGATCTAATATTATTATTATAGAGGCAAGGGTTGTTTGTTGACAGGGCCGATCACCACATGGGGTTGGGCAGACACAAGAGTTCTCGAACCAAGGATGGTAGCTTGGATTATGGAGACGTCGCTGGAGCCCTCGTCTCCCATGGGCTGCTGTTCCCGTCGATTCTTAAACGAACAAGGAAAACAAAAAAAGGCACAGCCATGGCTCATTCCCGCTGGCCGATCCAAGGGTCGCTGCTGGGAGGCGAAAAAAAAGAGGGCCGGGGGAGATGCATGGGATAGCGACCATCGCAATAATTTCTAAGATCACGAGCTGGAAGTATAAAAAGGAGGGACACGATGCTAAGAAAAAGAGGCCAAAAATGAAAGCCAAAAGGGAAAAAAGAAAGGAGGGACGACGAAGAACTAGACGAAGAAGCAAAGGCCGGGCTTGCGGTGCGAGATGACAGGGTCGTGATGGACGAATGTATAACGCTTCCCCCAGGCTAGAATCCAATGGATCTTTTCCTTAATATCATCCAGCCATTTCCATGACAAGGAGCATGGAGGGCGAAGATTAAGGGTGAAGTCGTGAAACTACAGCTTTGCTCGTCCTTCGCTTCTGGTCGTATTGAGTTTGTTGTTGTTGTTGCTGCTGCGTTGCGAATTCGCCTGCTGGAGGAAGTACTCCTTCACTCTGCGCCTGGCCACTTTAACAACATCTGGATCTTCGACCGTTGGCGGCACGTTGACAGCCGCATCATACTTACCTTCAGCTGCCTTCTCCACAAGTTCCCTCAATACCCGTCGAAGTGTCTTGCCGCTTCGTGTCTTTGGGATCATCCCTTGGCCCTGAACGATCCCTCCGAGCGAGGCTATAGCCCCTATCTGGTCTCTCACCAGGGCGTTGACTTCTTGGAAGAATTCTCTAGACGGAGTCGCTGGTATTCCAGACGCAGTCTTAGCTGAGGGATACAGTTGCACGAAAGCAAATGGTAGATGGCCCTTGATGCTGTCGGGAATGCCTACTACGCTTGCCTCTGCTACATCCGGATGCGAGAGAATAGCTTGCTCAATGGCCCCTATGCTAAGAGATTAGTACCGGAACTATCGAACCTTGGAGAAAAGAAGATTTCACATACCAGTGCTGAACCTGTGTGCAGCTATATTGATGATGTCGTCTGATCGTGACATGACGTGGACATATCCATCCTGATCTATCATGCCAGCGTCGCCGGTATCCATCCATCGGCTGGAAAACCGTTTGAGATACCCGTGATAGAACCGCTTGTCGTCGTGGAACAGAGTTGTGAATCCCGTGGGAGCAAACGGTATGGCCAGCACGATGTTGCCCATGGTACCGTTCTCCACTTCCTCGCCCTCATCGTTGACTATTCGGACGTTAAACCCAGGCATTGGCTTGCCGGCAGAGCCCGGCTTTGCTCTGAGTGCTCTAGTCTTTGGAACCTTGCCGTTGACTACTCCCAGGTCAGGCCTTAAAGCAAGTCCCGTCATAGGCGATCCAGACTCAGATGACCACCAGTTATCTATTACCATTGCTCCAGGCGCGGCGTGCTGTTCCAGCAGCCTTTGGAAAGCCACAACAATGCTCGGCTCGCTTCTCTCGCCGGCCAAAAAGAGACCTCTGAGCTGCTTCAACCCTCCCCTTTGACCGACCTGGTGTAGCAGTTCTGAATTTGGATCCTCCTTGTGTATTACTCTCAAGGCCGTGGGAGCAGTGAACAAGGCGTTGACCTTGTGTTTTTCAATTAACCTCCAGAAACTACCTGCATCTGGAGTCCCGATTGGTTTGCCTTCATACAGCACCGTCGTAGCACCTGCAAGGAGGGGTGCATAGAGTATGAACGAATGGCCAACGACCCACCCTAAATCAGAGGCGCAGAACATCACATCGCCGGGGCCCTTGATATCAAAAAGGTACCTGATAGAGAGATTTAAGCCGACTGCATGGCCACCGGCTTCTCTCAGCACCCCCTTGGGCGTCCCCGTTGTGCCTAATCACATTCCATTCAATCAGCCAAATC